AGTGAGGTAATTCATCGGCGGCAAAGTTGTGGTGGCGCCCTCGAATCGCACTTTCGCAAATCTATGGAAAGGGAGGTATTGGGGGCCGGACGTGTCGCTCTTGCTCAAGCGGACGTAATGCACTGAAGAGGATCGTTGAGTAGCAGAAGTGTGGCTTTGACAAAGCGTTGCCGCCTTGTCATATGTCCCATTATGTCATCGTAAAGTGGGTCATGTGAGGGAGTTGACCAGAGTGAAGAGTTGTGCTTGCAGACTATAGACTCCTAAGCATTGGTACTGGCCCTTTCTATGTACAAACACCAGCGATTTCAGAGTCATCATCTCTTGATACGTATCTCTCTGCTATAGACTGGTATTCAAATGTTTTGAAAGTACACCCACTGTGCCTACCAAATGTCGTATACCCCAACTCCCGAAGCACCCTCTCGAGTCCGAGGGCTTCACTTATCCCAGGTACTGCTAATGCAGCTTTACCGCAATAACCCTCCCACCAGCCTTCGCTGTTCCATCCGGTCCAAAGCCACCCATAGTAGACACATAAAGGGTACTGTTGTCTTTCTCCGTTCTTCCGAATGTCGACGACGTAGAGCCCACCACCAATCCACCTTCAGCGATAGTCGTAACTTTGCCATTCAGTTCGATGTGATGAATTTTGTCGCCCAAGGGTGCTGCCAATGGCGCACAGACGTACATACTGCCATCCCTCGCAACTGCAAAATCGTCAGGACCGTTGAAAGTTGAGTCGCGCGCGGTTTCGAAAAAGCCGTTGGGTCTGCCAGTAGATGGGTGGACTCGAACGCGGCCAGCCAGAGCCTGGGCGGTGTTGGTGTAGTATACGTAGTCATTGTGGAATTTGATCCCGTTGGCACCAAGTTGTAGGCCAGGCGCAGAGAGGTTGGCTGCTAAGCTAGGATCCTCGAGAACGACTTCCGTTTTTCCAGTGCTGACGTTGTACGCAGCAATGTTTCCATATGTCGAATCTGCTAACAGCAACATTTCGTGATTCAATGCCGCCATGCCATTAGGCATAGCCATGTCAGGCAGTTCGGACATCTTGCTGACTTTGACTCCCTCACCCTTGGCAGTCACATCAAGTTTCCACAAGGAAAAGCTCTGTGGATTCGTCGCGTTTCCAGGAACTAGCTTCGCAACGATCACAGCGAAGACATCCGCCTGAAACTCGGTAATCCCTAGGGCGCCAGTTGCATTCGGGAAGGTGGCGATGACGGAAGAGCTTGCAGGTGAGCCTTGCGGGTGGACGATAAGCACTTGAGCAGTGTCGAGGGTTGTCACGAGAAGGGAGCCGTTGCCCATCGCAGCAATGTTTTCGGCCCATGTGCCGTTGGGAAATTGGTAGACCGTCGAAACATTCGTGGCAAATGTCGAGGCCATGAGGGCTGAGAAGATGGACACGAGCTTCATTCTGGCGCGAAAGTGTTGCATAGCCGGTGGTTGATTGAGGGCTTTTCAGGAGAGCTGGGTTGATATTGAAAGGCACGCTGTCTCCGAGTACTGTGTCGGTGATCGAAGAACCCCTTATCTGTGTACAACCCAAGAAGCGAAAAAGAAGCTTGCTTTCCTTTTTGTACGGGTTGATCGTGCATTGTTTGTTGGGCCTTGGCTACGCCCGAGCAATTCTTGTTGCTTCTGTCGTCGACTCTCGCTCTTCAGTAAGCACTCAGGCCACCCAGGCCGGTAAGCACCCAGGCCTAATTACCTCGATATTCGCCATCATGGCGAACACTATTCGCTGATTAATCCACAGTTGCGCGATGAAAAGGAGCCTACGTACGCCTACCTAGGTAGCCTTGGACATTCGTCCGACGCCCCAGCGCTGCTGAAATCGGATGGAACCGTTTGTCATCTTTTATTCAAAGGTGCAGTACTCGCGTTGGCGGCTGAAGAGCATTGCGGAGTTAGGGAGTGAGCGCCGTCCGCTGGTGTCCTGACGCGCCATGTCTGAGGAGATGTTGCAGCGTTATCCCAGATCTGGAGCTAGTGCTGAGAGAACCGCATCTTCTAAAGTGAGTCGAAAACAAGAAGCCTCAGACACATGATGAAGGTAGTCGTGTATTGATGTTATGGCGTGCGAGAGGGAGCAGAAGGCGGACGAGCTGGCAGCCACGCGTTGGGTTCGTGTGCCCCACTCAGCCGCTATCCGTAGCTAGCGTCCCCACCATTTCCCGTCTCTGCAGTCCGCGGGACCCGTGAACCCAACAAAGCTCCAATGCTGCAGGCAGCGGGGCATAGTCTTTCCCTAGAGAATCTCGAACGCTCCAACACAGCTGCAATATCGGCGTCGAAGGGTTTCGCACTGGAAACATCGAAAAAGTCTACATCACTCTATGGAGAAGACTCTGCGCACGTGACGAAGCCTATACGCGCAATACCGTCTCGTACCTTCAGAACCGTACTTCACGAAATCTTCGCGCTAATGCGCAACCGCGTTTTTGAACACTTCGAAACAGTGGCTTCTTCCTGTATCATCAATTCGCGTGTGATACTTTTACGGATTGTGCACAAAATTTGCGAGATCTTCGCACAAATATAGGCCAAAACAAGTTATTGTCACGTTTGTATATTGCTAAGGGGGTACATTATGTAGAATTTAGCAAAAGAGCGCTTCGGATACAGGCACGATAGACGACGCGCAAGCTACTCCATGAAAGGCTTGACCAATTCCAAAGACTTCTCCCACAGCAACCTCTCCTTCTCCTCATCATACGCATGAGGCGCATAACCGGGCTCGTCGGACGCAGGGTCTGGATTGAGTACGCTGGAGATCTGGCACTCTTCAAGGTATTTACCGCCCTGGTCTTCCAAAGCCTTCGCGGTAGCTGCCCAGACCGTGGTTGCAGCACCTTGCTGCGGGCTCTTGAGCGCCTTACCGATGTTGGGGTTCTTGTCCCATGACTCCATCGTCTCCTTGTCGATATGCGTCATGAGGCCGGTAAAGATCAATCCGGGATGAACAGAGAACGCTTGTACACCTTGGCTTCCGTATCGGCGGTTGAGTTCGGTTGCGGTGTAGATGTTGGCTGTTTTGCTCTGACCATACGCTGTCCAGGGGTGGTATTCGCCCTCGAGGTTGAGGTTGTCGAGATGGATGCCGCCCATGCGATGGCCGGTGGACGCAAGCATGACAACGCGTGATTTGAACTCCGGGGTGCTCGATTTGACTAGCGTGGGGAGAAGAAGTTGAACCAACAGGAAGTGAGCCAGGTGGTTCGTGCCGAACTGCGTTTCAAAGCCATCTGCGGTGCGTCCTTCTGGGCACGCCATGATGCCTGCGTTTCCAATGAAGACATTGAGACGATCGTGCTGGGTCAGGAACGAGTCGGCGCATTTGCGCACGCTGGCTAAGGAGTTGAGGTCGAGCTCCAAGAGGTGAACACGATCGCTCTCTACCAGGCTTCCGAGTGCGGACTTGGCTTTGTTGAGATCTCGAGCCGTAAGGAAGAGCGTCGCACCGGTTTCGAACAACGATTTTGCGGTCTCGATACCAAGCCCAGATGAGCAGCCGGTGATGAGGACTGTCTTGTCCGACCATTTCCCTTGGAGGTCCTCATCTGCGATGATCTGAGAGGCCGTAGGGCGTTGGTCACCGGGGCCGTTGGGCGATTGATGGGCGGATGCGTAACGAGTAGTCATGCTGGCGATTGGTCTTGGAAAGATAGGTGGTAATCGGGTGTAAAAGCTGTAGTGTTTGATGAAGGATACAACAGATGAGAAGTGCTGTTCTTTTATACCCTCTTACCGCTGTCAACTAATGCGCTTCTTTTCCACACCTTGTAAGTCTTTGATCAAAAACCTGTTGTTCAACTACCTAAACTCCGCCATCTGTAAGCAGCTCGGAGACGGTGTCCACGGACGCCCATCGAACACAGCTGAAAGGAAGGGTGCCTTGCTAACATCACCGCTCTTTCGCCTGCATTGGCATTCTGTCTCCGAACTAGTCTTACTAAGGAAGGGCACTTTACCAAGGTATACCGGAAATACCGCATAAAGCCAGCTGTAACATGTCGACGTGCGGAGTGGGAAGCAAACGTCGGCCCTACTTCTCATCGGCGACACAATTTAGAGGCTTGGCGCGACTACAATCCTTGTCCGATTACATATCTACTCAACTTCACATATCGACTACTCGTCGTGTAATTCCATCAGTTTCGTGTTGAGGTCGGTCCACCGCTCTTTGCGTCAGGGTGTTGATCAGTATGAGCAATGTATCACATCCTTGCGCTCATCGGCGCTTGAACTCAGTTTGCCAATCTTGGAACAATTGCAATTCCCTTTAAGAGTGGTAGCTGCATCAAAACGTGCGCTCAATAGTATCTATAGCATCTAGATGTGAAGCGCGTCGATGCATGTGGTGTTTGCGGCAAAGGAAATAACATCATGACGTCACGTTTAGCCTCCCTACGTAGGTACCTGCCTCACGATCACATCATTCCTTCCATATCAGACACAACCATACCATCTTAAAACCCTCTCGAAATGTCGACACAACTCAAACTCCTCGCCAACTATGGCGTAACCGGCTTCCTCTTGAGCACCGGCCTCTTCGCCCTGCTAGCCCCCACCACCTTCGCCGCTGGCTTTGGCATGCCCGTTGAGCCCGACACTTTCGCATCTGGTTTCGTTCAATGTATGGGCGGGCGCAACTTGACGTTTGGTATCATCGCGGGTATCTTCTTGCAACGAGGGGATGTAAAGGCTGTGGCGTTGATGGCGACGATGTTGGCGGTGGATGGATTTGTGGACGGGCTGGTCACGATGAAGTATGCTGGGCTGGGGTTTGCGGCACCGCATTTTGGTGCGGCGGCGATTATCCCGTTTGTGAGCCGGTGGATGGCGAGTTAGGTGAGTGGATGGGGATTAGCATGGGGGATGTTAATGGGCTGATAATGGGTTAGGCATCATCATTGTACAGTAGCATGAATGCGAGATACGTCGTCGTTGTAATTTGTTGTACGAACGAGACATCCCAGAACTAAACAATTTCATCTCTTCTTTCTCAACGACATGGTCTCATTCACGGTGCCAAACCCCAATCGTTCGCCTTCTGCCCCCGCGGTGTTTTCATTCACCAGTCCACCGTAGCGAATCTTCAAGCTACTCAACTCATCGGTCATGTCATCTATTGCAGCTACCCTTTCTTCCAGTAAAACTCGGCTCATTTCCGTATCGCCTACGGCCGCCATCATGATTTGGAGGAAGCCTCCATCGACCGCGGGCGCGCGATTGCGCCATAGCGACCATATCCCAATAGCCATGAAGACAGTCGCTGCTGCTAGACATATACTGTATGGAAGAATAAGATTCAGCGGGTCACTGAGATTATATGTACTCCGGTATCGGGTACTCGTCACTGGGACCATGTCCCACCAGGTGCCAAGTGAGATGGCAGAAATGGTAATGTTGGCCAACACCTCATTGAGCATGGCCTCGGTCATGTTGAGCGATCGCCTTGGGTCATACCTGCTGAAGTCTGAGCCGAGGACGAATCGGTCCGTGTGAAAGATGGTACCCTTGAGTAAAGCTTCAGATTGATTAGTCTCTGCATTGATGTACAGCTAGTGAAAGGGACTTACAGTTTTCCAAGCTACGGTCATGGTTTTCGAGCCAGGTTTTGCAAACACAAACTGTTGTAGAATCTGATGTCCCCTCCCTGAGATGGCAATCTGAACCGCTGTCACACCCCTGCTCCAAAAGAGACTGCGGAGGCGGATAGTCAAGCCACGATACTAGCTGCGATGGTGCTGTTGCTTGAAATGTTGTGCCCTCGATGAGTGCTCCCAGCGCATCTAGAATGGCCCACTCATTGGAGCTAGGTATCATGGTCGATAACTCATGATACCAATCTTTGTACGCTTGGCTGTTCGGTGGAAGCTCAAGTTTCAATGCTGATTCTGCTCCCAAAGCTTCGATTTTTTGAGGGAGTACTTTTGCGCCACTGAAAGAATACTCCACTGTCTGGACACCGCGCGGAAACGTAATGGCAACATCGTAGAGCACAGACTGAGCTGTGCAGATCTGTTCCTCAACTCGGCAATTGGCCTCTCCGACTATCTCGTTGCTCGGGTCACCTTGTACAGTATAGTTGGAAATGTCATATCGCTTCGACGAGTAGATTAGTTGTTCCTGATCCCATGTCGTTGTGAACATTGGTACTTCAAGGTAAAGTCGCTGCTTATAGTCAATTGCGACGTCGCTGTTGTACTGTTCAGTAGTACAGGTGAATTGCGGACCTCTGAACTCCAAATGATAACTAGAGTTTTCTCCCGGATGACCCGGAAGAGTGAACATCTGATTGTTGAACACGATCGCCTGTGCAATGAACATCAGTGCAGGATCAGGTTCGCTAAAAAGTCAATTTCGACTCAACCAACTAGTAGGATGTTGAACTTACTCGTACGAGAACCATCTTAACTCAGGATTCTGCTGAGCTCCCATGGGAGACGCCTCAGATCCTGAGGTCAGCGTATGACCGCCTAAAGTAGGGAAGTCTTCAACGCCAGCCAGATCCAAATGCAGCGGAAGAGGTGGGTTCATGACCGATAGATTGCGGGGCTCAGTGAACTCTTGAGCTTTGAAGACCACAATAAGTGCTCCTGGCGGGTAGACCGTTGCAAGTCCAACACACCAAATCAAAAGTGCCATGAGGAATAGTAAAGGTGCTCTCCGAATCCCGTGTGGGTTAAGTAACGCAACGATGTTTGTGCGAATGACGAAGAGCATTTCGACTGTCGACAAAGACATTGCTGTGCCGCGTAAGAGGTACCACAGATGTTGAGCGAAGCACATGCCCATGCTAGCAGTTAGTGCAGCTTTGAAGATTGTGCTCAGCAGGATAGAGACTGCCGAGACTTGTGTCTGCGTTAGGAAGCTAGTGTCGACTTGTCTCCCGTTCAGATTCTTGAAGAGCATGAAGTGTCCCAGCGCTGCGAAGAAAGCTCAAAGAACGTCAGTGGGGTCATGTGTATGTGACAGACGAGACTGACCTGTAAGAAAGAACCCGAATATTATGCCCATGGTCTTCCAGATGGCCTTCTGTCTGCGTTTGTTCTTTCGTAAAGAGGGCTGCGCAACGTTCGGTTTGTTGCAGGGGTGTGTTGAGTTGAAGGGCCTGGTAGGCCGTACAACTCCATTTTGGTGATCTGATTGAACCTCAGACGTGTTTGGACGACCTGAAGGACTTCCATCGTATCTGGTGAACATGCGCAGATTCTGGTCCGAGCGTGGCCTGTCGCCTATGCTTGTTGCGTTGTCGACGTCGCTATGATGTGATCCGCCACTATCACCCACTGTTGATGCGGCGACACTTTCTTCCATTGTATCTGACTTGCATCTACGGGGAGTGAAGGAGCATGAAAAGCACAGAGTATGAAGAACTTCTGTGAACATGGTTATGAGCTTGCCCAACGGGAGTGAAATCGTGGCTTAGACATTGCGACGGTATTGAAGATTTGCTGACTGCATTGACCCGCGAAGCAGGTACCCAATGCCATTGCGGTTCTCCGACGTCTTACTTGTGCGTTGTCGTTAGATATATATTGCACTACGATAAAAGTAGATGTTCACCTTGTCAAGCGCGGATAACGGAAGGGCGTGTAGATCAGTGCGGGTTTGGTGTAACCACACCACCAACAATCGCTCAAAGAACAGTCATACAATGCTTGCTTGCCGCATCTTCCAACAAGCAACCTGGATAGCTCAGCACACGTTGCAATATGCGACTAGACAGTCAAGAAATGCGCTTCCTTGATTCGATAAATCCGCCCTCCCTCGCTAAAGTCGCGGAAACAGAACTCATACTCAACACTACAGTCTAAAACGATGCGATGCGCTCACCCCAGCCTAGAAACCCACAGCAAGCATCAACCCATACCCAACCGTAATAATAACACAAAAGGTAATAATACTCGCCGGCACACCCCTCGTCAAAAAGTGCTTCACGGCAAGGTAGCGTTGGCCGGTACGTTGGTCTTCCATCATAATCGCAGCTGCATCACGTTAGCACCCAAGTCATAAACCCCCAAAAACACCCCCTTCCACACAACGAAGAAAGGAGGAAAGGAAAGAAAGACTTACTCATATTAGGAAACCCACTAGTCGGCAGCCCCATCGCCCCACTAGCCATCAACACCGCGCCCATAACCAGCAGATTAGGATGCGGTTCCGGCATCTGCTGCCCGACCTGCTGGACAAGCGGGAGCACAATAAGCGCCGCAACGGTATGACTGATAAACGTAGCAACCACGCCGATCAACGCGCAGAACACGACGAGAACGCCATACAAACTCATGCCCTCGACGCCGGCAGTGATGGACTCCGCGATCGTATGCAGCAGCCCCGATGAATTAACCGCTTTACCGAGGGACAGACCGCCGGCAGCGAGGATGATGATGGTCCAGAGGAAATTGTTGAAGTCCTCTTTGGTCAGGATGCCGGTGCCGAAGAAGAGGACAATGGGGATGATGGCTACGACGCCCATGTCGCCGAAGATGGATTCAAGCTGGTGGCTCACGCACCACAGGACAATGGTGACGAGCGTAACGACGCTGATGAACCATTGCACGCCGGTGAACTTGTCCTTCAGGGGGCGGATGGGCACGATACTGGTGCCGCGGCCGGGTTGGAAGGTGATGAGGAGGAAGACCCAGATTAGCAGGATGGAGATGATGCAGACGGGGAGTGCGACGAAGAACCATACGCCCCAGGAAGGTTCTGGGTGCATGTTTTGCAGCGCGATTAGGTTCTGGGGCGAGGCGATGGGGGATGCGGCGCCGCCGATGTTGGAGGAGAGGGCGATGCCCATGAGGAGTGCTTTGGTCATGTCGGAATCGGCGGGGAGGTTGCGGAGGATGGGCTGTGATGTTAGCTCAATGGGGATGATTTCGAAGGGGTTGGCATACCTGGATGATGGAGAAGCACAACACGGGTGCGGCAACGTTGCTGATCCACATACTGGCAAACATGGCGACGAACATGTTGACCACAAGGACGGTCCTTGGTTTCGTTCCGGCCTTGCTGAGGACAAAGGTAGCCATCATCTTGGCGATGTTGTACTTTGATAGCGCGGCAGCGATCGTGAAACCACCGAGTAGCAGCATGATGACTGGCGTCCACATAGCGGAAAAGACGTAAGATGCGGCTGCCTTAGATTCCAGTCTCCGGTGAGGCTCCACATCGCTTCGGACTACATTCAGTGTTACTGCGAGGAAAGGTACCAAGAGTGAAGTGACGAAGAGAGGTATAGCCTGTGGTGGTTAGCATGGAACTAAGGATTACAAACATTCTGCATACCTCGGTGGCCCATAGCAAACTGACAAAGATCACCATGGCCAGACAGTTCTGCTGCTCAGGCGCCTCCATAATAGGCACCACAAGCAGCACGACGAAGACCGCTATGCAAGCAAGCAGAATCCAAAAGGTCCTGCTGACGAGCCATTGCGGGCACCGATATCTTCCAATCGGTGTATCCACCTCCTTCATGTCTGATTCGACCTCGTCTCCTTGTCGCCTGATCTTGCCGCCCGTTGTGTCGCGTCCGAGCAGTGTATGGCTGATACCGATATTGGCCGCTTGCGCTTTCCGTTCGATTCCAATCATCTCTCGCCAAACTGTGTTTCTCTCCCACACAACGTGTTCTCGCAGATGTAATCTCAGTTCGCGCTTCGCCTCTACAATGTCGCCCTTTGTGCCGATCTGCGCGTACGCTTCTTCCATGCGCTCGAGGTTCCGCGTCAGCGTGTCCATGGTGCTTTGCTGGAAGGGATATGCTGGGTAGACGTATTTGTTCAGGTATGTCTTTTTGAGTTTGCGGTCCATGATCTTGTCGTACTTTTTCAGCACCTTTTCGAAACCCGTCTTGTTCAGCTGGATGAAAGATCGCAGCTCGCACAGCAAAACGTAGACACTGACAGCCCGCTTCTTAAGCGACACGCCTTCGTCGTACAGCGCAGAAAAAGCCATGTCGTTGTAGTCCTCGAATGCGACGCTCGTCTTCCGTCTCGAGGACACGTGCGAGGCTGCCATGTCTTCGTCGGTCGTCCGTCTGCGTCGCCGTTGACCGTCTGGGCTCTTCTTACGCAGCTGTGCGGTCTCGTCGACGTCTTCGTCCGAATCGTCCTCGTCTCCATCTGCCTCTGCGCCGTGGTCTGTTGATCGCCCGCTCGCACCGCTCATGGCCCGCGGTCGGTTGAAGCCGATGGCCTTGAAGACACTTCCACTGCGCATCTTCTTCCCTGGCGGCGCATTCTCGTTCTCCTCATTGTACTCTTCCTGGTGGTACTCGAACAGCTCCTCGTCCTTGAGCAGGGCCTCCATCTCCTCGAAGATCTCATTCTCCTTGAGCTTGTAGAAAGACGTGACGCGTTCTAGTTCCGTGTCGAGGGTATTCGTGAAGACCTTGTCAGGGTCATCGGCATCCCCGTTGAGGAGTGGTGAGGACTCGGCATCGGTATGCGCCTGCTTCTGGTTGAGTTGCGTCTCAAGGCTGTATATTCTGTAGATAGTCCGTCAGCCCACGATCTTACTAATACTTGCTCATTCCCGCCGGGACGCGCCACGTACTGCTTCTTGAGGTTGCTGTAGGCAATGTAGTGGTTGCTCCAGTCCGGCACTGCATTGAACTGCAGGCTGTGGGAGAACTTCATCTCGTCGGCCTCGCGAAGCTGCTCGAGCTTCTCCCGTCGCTTTTGTTCCCTCTTGGTCTCGCGCCGTGTCTCTTTTGGGAATGTGGTGAGTGGTTGAAGCTCAAAGGCTTGGATGGGCGCAGCGTCACGGTAAGGGCTCAAGGCGTCCAGGGTGGAGGCTTGCGGGTTGTGGAGGAGCAGTGTTAGGCAGTCTTCAGCGGGAAGACGCTACGACAGGCAGGCTAGAGGGCGTAGTTGCAGGCGGTCAGGTGGCGTGCAGCACGTGGAAATGCGGCATTGAGATGTGTGGGATTGGCGCGGAACCTTTCTCGGCGCTGGCCTGAAGATGTGGATGCCTTTCGTCACCGCACACCAGGGCCGCGCCGGAACACATGGGCCGGCCATTGGCCCTCCGCCGCGCTCCCGCACCCACACCTCCCACGCCCGTACACTGTCTCGGGATACGCGACAGGTAGCGTCTTCGTGGATCGTCACGCGCCTGAACCCCACGTCCATGGGAAGCATCATCTGTCTCGTCTTCAGTGGAACCTGTGCAAGTCTTCGCGATGACCCGCTCCTGGCCGCGGCTAGTCATTGCCTGCATCCCACCCTTGCCGAAACCACTCGACCTGCATCATCGTTGCGTATAGCTCGCCCGCAATCATCTGCGCCAATCACGCTTCACAACGTGTGATATCTGGTAGATCGTCCGTTGAGCCTCACTTTGACTAAGACAGTTGGGAAATCATGTTGAAAATGCGTGTGGCGAACATTGCTTGAACTTTTATTCACTTTTGGACTATATACAATCATTGGCCTGGGCCGTGTGAATAACATCATCGTTTAAACTGTAGAATGTTAGCAATGTTCAGTGATCTCAGATACTGTCAGACTTACACCTCAGGTCCCAGCCAATCTTGGGTCCTAGCTTTGGCAGCTCCTCCGCAACACTCTGCACGTCCTTGTCACCACGTCCAGACACACAGATGACAATGTCCTGGTCCTTGTTCATCGTCTTGGCCAGCTCAATGGCACCAAAAACGGCGTGCGAGGTCTCCAGCGCGGGGATAATACCCTCGAGCTGAGACATGAGACGGAAGCCGATGAACGCCTCGGCATCGGTGCAGGCAATGAACTTGGCACGGTCGCTGTCCTTCCAGCTGGACAACTCCGGGCCAACACCGGGGTAGTCGAGACCAGCAGAGACCGAGTGAGTCTCGCTGATCTGTCCGTGCTGGTTCTGGATAACGTAGGTACGCACGCCGTGAAGTACACCCTTGGTTCCAGCGGAGAGTGTTGCACTGTGGCGGTCTGTGTCGATACCGTCACCACCAGCCTCAATACCGAGAAGCTTGACGGACATGTCCTTGGAGAAGGGGTAAAACATGCCCGCGGCATTGCTGCCACCACCAACGCAAGCAACTACAGCGTCGGGGAGCTTGCCTCGCTTGGCCTGCATCTGCTCCTTGGTCTCGTTTCCGATGATCGACTGGAAAGTACGGACAATAGTAGGGAAGGGGTGAGGGCCGATGGCGGATCCGATGATGTAGTGGGTTGTGTCGAGGTGAACAACCCAAGCGCGCATGGCCTCGTTGACGGCGTCACGGAGGGTCTGCGCACCAGCCTCGACAGCAACGACCTGCGCACCGAGCAACTTGATGCGGAAGACGTTCAAGGCTTGACGCCTGACATCCTCGGCACCCATGTAGATGGTGCACTTCATGTTGAACTTGGCGCAGACGGTGGCGGTCGCAACACCGTGCTGGCCAGCTCCGGTCTCAGCAATAATTTCAGTCTTTCCCAGTCTCCTGGCAATGAGTACCTGTCCGAGAGCGTTGTTGATCTTGTGACTTCCGGTATGGTTCAAATCCTCTCTCTTCAACCAGATGTTAGCACCTCCAGCGTGCTCAGTAAGGCGCTCGGCAAGATGCAAATGTCCTGGTCTGCCCATCCAGTCGTAGTAGGATCGATATTCTTCCCAGAACTTGGGGTCTTCGATCGCTGTGTTGAAACCTTCCTCGAGCTCAGAAAGACAATCCATGAGAGATTCAGGCACATATTGCCCGCCGAACTCGCCGAATCGTGCGGGGAACTTGTGCTTCTCGTCAAATCCATTCTGCTGGTTGGTTCCATTCGCGCCGTCCGTCTCGTCAGTGTTGAGCATCTCCAGTTGGTCGGCGAGACCGGGGCCGTCTGGTGTGTCGGCATCTGTGATGACCTTGTCGACGTGGACGCCGGTGGGCTCCTTGGCCTCGTTCAATGTCTCAACAATGCCAACCTCGCGAGTTGTCTCGCGGGTGCTCTTGCCGCAGATCTCGTCGCAGTACTTCTCAACTGCCTTTGCGCCCTCTCCTGCTGGAGCCTTGATCAATGTGTTGATGATCTGGGAACCGATAACGACACCCTCAGCGATCTTGCCTACGCTCAAGTAGTGGTCGCGTGTGCTGACACCGAAACCGACAGCCGCCGGAACATTGCCAGAGTATTTGTGGACGCGCTCGAGGAGTTGGGGAAGGGCAGCGTTCATTGTTCCGCTGGCGCCGGTAACGCCCATACGCGATACGACGTAGATGAAGGAATCGGCGATTTTGCATAGGACGCGCATGCGGTGCTCCGAGGTAGCGGGTGCGATGAGGGGAACGTAGGAAAGACTGCCTTGTTAGCATTCGTCCCAAGCTCGTCTGAATGGTGTGCTTACCCGTAGCTACGGCAGAAGTTCCTGAAGCGCAGAGCCTCCTCCGGTGGCAGGTCGACCATGATGAAGCCGTTGGCTCCGGCCTCCTTCGCATCCTGCAGCATCTTCTCCTCGCCGTAGCTGAGCAGCGGGTTGTAGTATCCCATGAGGAGGACTGGTGCCTTCAGACCCCGCTTCCTCGCGTCGCGGATCATCTGGAGGACATGGCCAATTGTGACGCCGTTCTTGAGGGCTTGCTATAGACACATGGTGTCAGGAAGAGTTTCGGAGGGATGGTGGCGAGTAAGTCAACGTACAGTGTTGGCGGTCTGAATTGCTGGGCCGTCGGCAATGGGATCGGTGAAGGGCATGCCGAGTTCAATAATGTCTGAGCGTGTCAATTAGCTGTCGTCGTTTCGTTCGGCGTAGCAATTGCTCGTCCCACGTACCAGCACCTCCGGCCTCCATGGCCATCATGATGTCTGGCGTCTCCTCTGCCGTGGGGAAACCTGCAGTCACGTAGGTGACGAGGGCAGACTACACACATGTCAGCCTGGACGTCTCATCTGCTTATGCCAGATCATACCCTGCCCTCCTTCTTGCATTGCGCAAACGTCTTCTTAATGCCGTCCATGTTGCTGAATACCGAGTCGAAAAGTTGGAGTGTGTGACAAAAGCACAAAGCCAGAAGCTGACTTCCTTATAGATGAAACAACTGTGAGTCACAGTATGGGCAGTCATAAGGGTACGCGGAGATATCGGGGTCTGGTATGAGTCTTGTGTTCGCAATTTATTGAGGGCCGAAGGCGGCGTAATGCCCCTCCTCTCCGGCATTAGCGGCTCAATGGGGGAAGGCGCGCGAACATCATTCCTTCTAGAAGCAAGTCTTACCAAACTCCACACTTTTTTCAACTCATACACGTCATTGCGAGACTCTTTTGTACATTAGACTACAGGACCCCGTTTAGAGTTGATCAAACCTTGTACATTCGCCACATCTGTAGATACAGTGTGCAGCTCGGTTTTTGACACTCGCCGCTTCAGTCATTTGTGGCATCCGCAACTTTTCCGAACTTTGTTCTCATTGACCGTGCGATCCTCATTAAACCAACCCTGGCGCCCGCATGCCTTCATGAAGTTCCAACAGTCATCACAGACGATGTCATCCTCTGCCGCGGGCTTTGTGCACCGGAATACACCAGGGACCTCTGAGCCTTTCATTCTCTTCCAGGCTTCGACCACGTCTGCCACCATCTCGCCATATCTGTCATCCGTGTAACGCTTCCGACGGATCACGCACGTGCGGGGCTTCTCGTTGTCTGCGTCAGTCCACTTGAAAAACTCGTCGGCCTCTGTGTGTATGTCTCTCCACGGACGTATGAGAGCAGGATGGGTCCAGAGACAAGATCCGCACAGCCCTTCACCAGAGGTATCTGCGCGACATCCAATTCTTTTTCCATACAACGGGCACGATTCCGATGGGTTGTTTGCCATGTTTCGTGAGTGTGGGTGGTCTGGACTAGGCTTCGTGATGGCTGCAGCTTCGCTAACGATCCGGGCGTTGACTTGTCGGGGGCGAATAGAAGAAAATTTGAGAGGCTTTGTTATAGAGGCCCTTGGGGAAGAGAGAGAGAGGGATATCTCCCGAAGGTAAGAGTTCTGTTGTTGACAGAAAGCAGAACCGGAGCGAGTTTTGTCACTACAAACATGATGTCTAGTATGACTGGGATTTGTGACTACTTGGAAGTACAGTCATACATCGCGGTGGCATTGCGCCTCGCACAGACGTAAAGGACCGCCGTGAACATGATCTTTTCTGGTGGTGACCCTTATCAAACACCACTTCATTTCCTTCCTACATACCTCATCACTCCTTCGCACAGGGTCATCATCGTTGTACGCACAAGATATCGACAAATCACGATTCGAAACGAAGACTGCGGTTCCTGGTTCTTCACTGTGTAGAGCACACCCTAGAGACATTGGCTGGGTTCATTGGCATGCTATATCTATGATCATGGAACGTGTGGATGAGGATGACACAGGCACAAGTCACCGCTGGTCCAACTTATTCTTCGACTCGCCTTCCTCTCCCCTGAGCGTCGCCTCTCCATTGACCGTACCTTTTTATTCCGATCCGGGCACCTTCTTTCCTTTACCAATGTACTTTGGAAGCAAGTGTTTGCCATCTTCCGAAAACATCTCCTTAGCAGGATTCTTGTCTTGCAGATCAGATAGACACCTGGCGTAGAGTTCCGCTTCGCCGTCCACGGGATCGCATATGACGTAGTCACGAAGCCTCAGTTTCTTTTCCTCCTCTGTCTGTTCCTTGTACGGTCTTTCTTCGTTCCTGTCATACCTGATATTCTTAATAGAATCCACCCAATCGTTGCCATCCTTGTCGGCCCTGAAGCGTTTCTGCCGGAGGACACAGATGTTTACCGGGTGCCACTCGTTTGAGCTGGTCTTCGTACATATTGAGATATATGTTCTTCCGTGACTCCTCCTTTATCGACTCAGACATCGACTTGGATATCGACTCCGGAAGATGCATGGCTATCCGCTCAAGGTTCCAATACATGATTACCGGGTGTGTGTCTTTGCAGTAAGAACATAGCTCATTGCCGCCTTCTTTTGAATCCTTTTGAACGCAAATCTCGAGCCGCGCGTCACCGACCACGCATTGTAACTGTCTGGTCGTCGACATCCCACAGAGAGTGTTCTTGTAGTCGGCGTGAGAAGTCTTCCGTGTTCGAAAATCCGGTTGCTGTCTGGAGCAGGGTCGCGAGGGGGTTAGATAGGTGATGTGTAGTGTGACTTTCGTAAGCTGTATACTTCGTCGGCTTTTATACTTGCGACCCAGTCATCGATGACTTGATAGAAACGCTGACTGCGAGTCTGTGACTATAGTACAAAGAACAAGGCCTCGACATGTGAGTAGGAGGCCAGGGCTGAAGGCATGCGTCGGTGGTATTAATCAATGCCTACAGTTGACTGTTGATATGGGTCTCGATCCACCGAACGCATGCCACGTCTTCGTTAACCATGTGCGAAGAACGTGGTGAGCTGTCCGAAACAGTGACTTGCTAAGATTGCGTCGTCGAAAGGAACTCCTTCTGACAGCGACTCTTACCGAAATCTGCTTCATTCACCTTTTACAAGCTCAGTGCGAACTGCAGTAATACGTATGTGCTACCTTTAGCATTACAAGAATGTTCATTTTGTTGCATAAAATAGCTTGCCGATGCTAGCCCTACATTCACAGTCCACCATTACGACCCAGCGGGCTTATGTCTCCTTACGCGATCTTCGCCGAAATATTTATCAATGGCCTCTTTACCACCTGGCTTCTTTCGATAGTAGTCGTAGCCATTTGCGCAAATCTGATGTTTCTCAAGCACGCGCTGACAGCTTTCAAGATCGTCGCTTTCAAATCGCTCTTCCCACACAGTGGCCAAATCTCGTTCCTTTGGCTCTTGCAACATCTTGCACGCGAAAGTAACCTCTCCATCCTTCTTGAACAGCTTCTTCCGCTGCTTCGATCCTTCTTCCTCACTAAACCTCTTAACGTAAACGTCCTGGCGCATAACTTCGAGACAATCGTCGCAGAGGGCCATCGGGTTCTCCACTAGCTTGCAGGCGATAATATATGGGTAGTCTATACCCTTACTCCTGTTGTGCTTTTTCCTTGCTTCGAGTAGGTGATCGAACCAGGTGAAATCGTGGTAGATCTCTTCGTCTGCGTTGGTGCGGAAGTAACATTCATACTGCCCAGCCGGGGGCTCCGGCAGCTCACGCAACAGCTCTTTGAACCGCTGGGCGACACTTTGGTTGATGGGGTCGTTTGGGGACTTTCTTGACTCACGACGATGCTCTCTTGCTCCCCACAGGAGATACGGATGCTGTCTAACGCAATGCTTGCAAGGCTGGTCTGCCACTTGGTCCGGATCGGGAGTAGATTTAGCCTCAAGATAGTTCTCATAGTACGCCCAGAAGGTGCAGCAAAGTCTTTGCCGTCGATTTGCACTCCTTCTCGTGTTTCTGAGGCCATGCTGGAGAGCTTGCTTGCTTATCGCGGCTTCGAGGTAGATGTAGGTGATGAGGGACGAATAATTTGTTTTAAGGGCTGGCTATAATCTGTCGCGAGGTGCTCGAGAAAGACTTCAAGCACTCGTGAAGTTGCGGAATAGCTAGACTGAGTTACATTGGTTATAGTGACACGGATAGTCATTGCGGGAGTCACTGTTGGTACGCACCGACTCCAACACCATGACCCCTCCGCAAGACCATCGTGCTCCATTACCACACCTCCTCCTCCTAGTCCGTCGCCCACGCCTAAGTCGCAATGCACTAACTGGCAAATGGATAGATTGCCACCGCTTCAAAATACGGTAGCGCAAGCTTAAACGCGGTCAATTCAGAAAGCCCATATCGATTAGCAATAGAGTTTGCCTGCAAGCCTCCAGACCAGGAGTATGAACACCAATAGTCCACCAGTTTCCAGATCCCTCTTGCGACAATGGTGGTTACCGAAACTCCGAGTACAAGGCCGTTCAGAAGGGATGTGAGGTATGCTACCGCAAAGCTCGAATCAGCCGCGACTTTCACTCCTATGCGCCTACATCTGAGCGCTGCTACCAGCGGACACAACGTGCGTTTTGGGGTCCATCTTCGCGTTGGTATATCCCGCGGAGGATTGAACATCCTTGTCCCGATGTGCTTGTTTTGCAAAGCGATTGTAGCATCCAGTAAGTGGCACGGCTTGCGGCTCCCTTGCAATGTGCCGTTTCTTGTGTGTCGGTGTTGCTGTTTGGCTTTCCGATGCGGAGGAATGTGCTATAAGCACTAGTCGTGTCGTCTTGTCAACCACACTGTGATTACGATAAAGCTGTAAGGGGTGGCCTGCCTCTAATTCCGTGCCAAAGGTGAGCACCAGAAGCAGTAGACGTAGATGTGGTACTGTCGCATGTTCGGAGGGATCATTGTCGTTCGTCGGTGATAAGCTCGTGAGCCGACCCAGGGCTGTGATCGAACCTCGTCTGAGGTGTACGGAAAACGTATTGAGGGTACTCGACGAGAGGATTGACTCAGATCGGTTCGTCGATAGCGCTGCAATCACACCCCATAGTTTCGGCGCAGTATGCCCCACTCCGTATCGAAGTACCGGCCAAACCCTCGAATCTCGCACATACGATTGAAACACTTCTGGCAAAGCTGATTCCTAAACCTCGTCCTGTCGCAGCGTCCATCTCGCCTAGGATCCTTTTCCCAGCTCGGATCTGCCTCACCCTGCTGGTTCCGCGGTCCAATCTTCCAGTTGCTGTCGACGGGCCGTCTTAGTCGTGGGTCCTCGAAGACACACGGAAACCCTACTCGGTCGCCATCGAATTCCGAAAGCCAATGGCAGGCTTGCTCTCGTGCTTTGCGGTAGCATCGTGCACACAGCTGTCCGCGATGCCGAACTGTGCCGCAGAGGCGGGAATCTTGGGGGTTGAAGTCGTTTCGCCATGCTGAGAAGCGGAATTCTGGGTCTTTGCATGCACAGAGATATGTCCAGCCTTTTCTGATGCGTTCGGAGCTGTCGCGCTCAAGCTGGTGCCTGTAGACATCGATGCGGTACCTCAGCAACGGCTTGTCTGGATGTGCTTCGGCCTGCTTGTACAGTGCGTCGAAGCTCATGTTCTTGCACCATGAACATATATCTGTTCCTTGTTCTTGTCCTCCTGGACGTGAGCCACAAGCAGTACCGAATGCACAGTGTGGCTTCGGCGGCGGTGCTAGCATGACAAGCAGGTCGTACAGTGGTACACCTCATCTGTTAGCGTGGCCGAAAACCTAGCAGAGCGACTTACCAGGTCAGTTTCTGGTATGGCTTCAACTCGTTATTGTGTTGTAGCCTTCCACGTCATCGTCCGACTCCTCACTGCCCTCCTCCGAACCTGCCGACCTTGTCACCAGTTTGTCTGCTTCTTCATGGCATAGGCCCGTCGGCGTGAAGAACTGGGCGATTCTGATCTTCCGCAAACGCCTTCTCCAACACCTGGTACACGCAGTACCTTTCTTGCGGACAGAAGGGCAGTCCAGGCGAGTGCCGCGGAGATTCAGGTTATGTAGTCGCCACCTGCAGTGCTGAAAATCCGGATCCTCAAAGGCGCAGAGATAGCGACCACGAGCTTCGATGTTGCGTTTCAGGATGTGCTTGCGCGCAGTTTCTTCGTTGATGAGTTGCAAGGCAACAGTGTTGGCGTCAGCCCAAACTCGCAATTGTTGTGGATCGTGTCGTTGAAGACAGTCCGCGCAAACCCGGTTTGGGACGTAGATTTTCTTGCCGATGCCGAGACAATGAGATCTAGAGACGCACTCGACAATCGGTGGGGGTTTGAAAGTGGATTCAGAAGCTGAAGCCATAGACTGGTACCGAACGTCTAGTAGTCAGGGCTCCCACGCTCACTGGTTTGCGGTTAGCTCAACGTCCTTGCATGTCGGCTTCTGTGATAGGGCGCTCCCGGTATGTGCTCCTATGACGTTGAGATTGACATTCTTGCTGGTCGTTGAACATGATCGAAAGACATCAACTAGTTGATGCTTGCAGGTTCTGCGAGTTGCATTGACAGGTGATGGGGACGGTACTGGACGAAAGCGGGCTGTCGCCATCTCCGGTGACATGAGTTGCGACCAATGCAATCGAGTGCATGCTTGACCACACGGACGCTACGGGCTCAGTCATGGAAGCTTTTTGTGGCGTAGAATGTGTCCGATGTGTCGGTTCAACTGTTACTGGGCGGTGTGATACGCTGATCATACTCGCTAGGCTACCGGCATGGTAACATGCCATGTGCCTGTGCCGATTGGGTACCACTCGTGTCCATCGTATCAACAGTGGTGTTGCTGCGCTAACATGCAGCTATGATCACCGTGAGGTATGAGACCCGACAAGCCGGACAGGCCAAAGCGGAAGCTAAGCCACCGGTTAGCCCGTAGATTTGTGTAGCTGAACCGAATCTGGTCTACCGCTCGTCGGGAGACAATGGTACCCATCTCATTCGTCAGCTGTGAAGAAATCGCAGCAGCGTGGAATAGACGTTACGTGTATTTTGGACCTCGAACGCTTGAAACCTGTCGTGATTCGATGATGCTGTGATAAAGTTTCGCTTCGAGCATTCTAAACATGAGGAGATCATCGTGCACGGCCATGAGGTCCTTGCTAATGACCCCGATGAAGCCCAAGACGCTGACTCGTTCCGGTTCATCCGCCTCTTGATGCAACATGCTTTGCATCGTGTTCGAGACGCAGTCACTTCAACACCTGCTTTAGTCTTTGCAAACACTGTGTAACCGCGTACTTGCATTGGATCGACCCAGAGTAGAACTCTATCGGATATGCAGTTGTGGCGCAATCTGGATGGGCAGTCTAGAAAACGACCTGTATCTTCCGCGATCCATCCTCATCTATGGAGAGTGATATTTGGCCGGTATGAGGTTTTCTGATTCGATACAACGGGTAAATGCGGTGTTTGGATGCCTTGGGCCTGAGGCGTAGGTGTCAGATGACAAGTGGTCCTCCTGCTCGTCTGGATTTTGCCAACGCGATGACGAATCTCTCTCAGACTGCACCCATGACCGTAAGTAGCCGTGTGGTGCCAAAAGGGCACTAGACGTGTAAGGCCTGCCTGCCCTTCCATGGTGGTATGGGAAGAGAACGTGTGCAACACCGAGTCGAGCTTTCATATGCATAGACAGTCGTTCGACATGGCATCGGATTTGACCGCAACGTACGTCGGCGAATGCGCATTACGCGTGCAGTGGTCCCAGATCGAGTCATCTAGTGTTAATCTTTTGAGCGGAAGGGTGATGCACATCGATTCTTACAGCCGAGACAGGCCACATCTGGCGCACGACCAGCTTCATATGGAGTCAGTGGCTTGGTCACATGTCGTTCGCTCTGGGCGACCCGGGGCACGGGTAGGATATGATAGGGATCGAGACCCTGGTGTGCTCATCCGTTGATTCGTTAATGAAGGCCGTGGTGACTTTGATCAATAAACACCACTTTGCACCTCGCCAGAATCTGTCGTTGTGTTACGTGTAGCTGCGCGGTGTGGGAGGCAAGCACGCAGACATGCATGCTGCAACCTGCTGCACCCGCTTGACGTTCTGTTGTATCAAAGCTTAATGGCCACGGAGATCGCCGTCCATAGAGCTCTGCTCAAACCGCATTGCTGCCAGATGACTGAAGGGTCGAACGGTCATCGAAGTATAATTATTGTGGATATACTACTCAGGAGATTGGGTCGTGCCGCGAATGATCGTGCCAAAGTCGACGTTCGGCATGATTTCGCGGGTTCCCCATGGTTGGAAGCTATGAGGCGCTGTGCTGTAGCATTGTCGTCACATGTCGGCGAGGCTGGATCGCACGAATACATAGGGTGTACAATCCGTCCATCTGGGATCGTACGGGGCAAGCCCTGTTGTGGAAGCATCAAGCGTCGGCTACGACTCGGCGAGGCTGACCTCTCCAAGGTTGGCATTGACCCGCATCGCCTCAATCGAAGTGTGGCGGCTGGCGGCAGCGCGCGAAAGTAAAATTGGAAGCTTGCTGGGGTAGCTGTCGAAGGGCTGTTCTGTCTTTGTTTGCGCTGAAAAAACGAACATCTGAAACCTCTTCTCGCTAGCGTCCTTTAGCCTCGCGATCACCGACGCGTCTACGGTGCACCGACCTCGGGACGCGTGCACATCATTGCACGCGTAGCCAGCTTGCCACACACT